GGGCTGGATTTTGGGGCAATTTCAGGGGATTTAGGGCTGGATTTTGGGGCAATTTCAGGGGATTTCGAGCTGGATTTTGGGCTAAATTTGCTACATTTCCACCCGGATTTTTTTCCCTAGTCCCTCCCAGTAACCCCCAGTCCCTCCCAATCCCTCCCAGTCCCTCCCAGTAACCCCCAGTATCCTTTCCAGGCCATGCTCCTGCAGCTGCTGACGGCCGTGGCCGCTCTGGCCGGCGCCGCCTGCTCTTTGCTGGCCGAGGGTTCCGGTACCGGAGCCGTGACCGGGATCCTTCCCTTCACCGCCGGCGGTTTCATTTACCTGGGCACCGTTTCCGTGCTCCCCGAGATCCTCCGCGATTCTGGGCCTGCCCAGGCCCTCCTGCAGCTCCTGGCACTGCTGGCCGGCGTGGCCATGATGCTGCTCATCGCCCACTACGAGTAGGAAATCATCCCAAAAATCGCCCCCTCCAAAAAAAAAAAATCTTCAAAAATCTCTTGGTTGTCTAACGTGTAAGAACGGGTGGTGCCCGTTGTGAGGTTTATTTCGGGACCAAAACGAGGCGTCGCCGCCGAGTAAAAAAAAAAAAAATGAGATTTGAGTGGGGTTTGAAGGAGCGATTTGGGGGATTTTAGGGGGTTTTTTTTTATATATGTATCATTGGTGAATCATGACGGATTAAAAATGTGAGGATGAGGACGAAGTGAGCGCGTGGAATGGCGTCCGGGGATGAAAAAAAAAGGGTGGGATTTGGGTGTGGGAAAAGGGGAAAAAATCGCGAGGAAAAAAAAAAAAAAAACGGGAAAAATCGGCGGGAATGGAGGTGCTGGAGGACCAACCATAGAGTGGGGGAGGGAGGGATAGAGCGGCTCCTGCGGGAGCGGCCGCCGTCTCTGTGGTCACTTCCGGTGCCGCCATGATGGGAAGGTCAAAACGACGCTTCCGGGTTGGGGATGGCGACATTTTGGGGGGTTTGGGGCATTTCGGGGATTTGGGGACATTTGGGACATTTTTGACATTTGGGGATTTGGGAACTTTTGACGATTTGGGAACTTTTTGGGACATTTTAGGAATTTGAGGACATTTGGGGATGTGGGGTCATTGAGAATTTGGGGATTTGGGGACATTTTGGGACATTTTTGACATTTGGGGATTTGGGAACTTTTGACGATTTGGGGACATTTTGGGACATTTTAGGAATTTGGGGCCATTTGGGGATTTGGGGTCATTGAGAATTTGGGGATTTGGGGACATTTGGGACATTTTTGGCATTTGGGGATTTGGAAACTTTTGAGGATTTGGGGACATTTTGGGACATTTTTGGCATTTGGGTTCATTGAGAATTTGGGGCCATTTTGGGATTTTGGGGTCATTGAAAATTTGGGGACATTTTTGGGGACCCCAAACCCCCCCTCCCCTCCCCCAGTGACATCAATGACTCCGATCCCAGATTTTTAAATTTTTTTTAATTTTTTTTTTTGCTGGAAAATTCCAAAAAAAAGGGGAGGAGGGAGGGGGGGATGGGGAATTCCGGGGGGGGGGAGAAAAAGGGAATTTTGGGGATTTTATGGGAATTTTGGGGGATTTGGGGGGAATTTTATGGGAATTTTTTTGTGGATTTTGGGGGGATTTTATGGGAATTTTGGGGGGATTTTATGGGAATTTTGAGGGGATTTTTTATGGATTTTGAGTGGATTTTAAGGGAAATTTTTGTGGATTTTGGGTGGTTTTTATGGAATTTTTTTGTGGATTTTCAGGGGAATTTGGGGTGAATTTCGAAGAATTTTTGGGTGGATTTTAAGGGAATTTTGAGGGGAATTTTTGGTGGATTTTGAGGAATTTTGGGGGGAATTTTTTCATCATTTCACGTTGGATTTGGGGGAATTTTCTGGGATTTTGGGCTGGATTTGGAGCAGAATTTTTTAGGATTTCAAGCTGGATTTTGGGGATTTTTTTCAGCATTTCAAGCTGGATTTTGGGGGAATTTTCTGGGATTTTGGGCTGGATTTGTGGGAATTTTTTCAGGCATTTCAGGCTGAATTTTGGGAATTTTTTCAGGATTTCAGGCTGAATTTTGGGGGAATTTTCTGGCATTTTCCAGCTGGATTTATGGGAATTTTTTCCACCATTCCCACAATAAATCCACACCAATTCCCAAAAAAAAACCCTCCACTCTCCATCCACCAAAAACCCTAAAAAAAAAAAAAAATAAGAAAAATTTTAAAAAAATCCCCGGGAGCTCTGAGAACAAAAAACCTCAACCGGGGGCT